GATTCTTGGCGAGTTGAAATTTTCAGTGACTTCTTCATCTACATTATATTGTGATAATCAATCTACTATTCATCTTACTTCTGACTCTGTATTACACAAGAGGACGAAGTAAATAGAGATCGATATTCACTTTCTTCGGGAGAAGGTTAGCAATGGTATTGTCACTCCATCATATTTGTGAGGACCAGTGATCAGGTTGCGGATGTTTTTACCAAACCTGTCACTCTATCCATTCTTCGAGATTCTGTTGTCAAGCTTGGCTTAGTTGATATTTTTGCGCCTAACTTGAGAAAGAGTGTTGGAGATATAGCAACAGCCTAGTTTATTAGGGCTTATTAAGTTTTCTCTTTTTACCTTTTTATCCTTATTGTAACTTTTATTGGCTATATATACGGAGCTCTATACTTAGTTTGTATGTCTTTTTCATTCACGTTTATTTCAAGTGTAGTTATAAAAGGTAGGGACTAAGGATCCATTTTAATTTGGTATGCGTTGTCTTGGTCTTACACCACGTAATCAACTTCAGTGGGATTATATTTCCTGGAACATATGGCTGGATTACAGAGCCCATGAGCTCATAATAAGAAAAATTCGATCGGAGATCAAAGAACTACAACCAACGCAACCAAATCTCAATGTATAACATAACTAGAATTCGAAGTAATTTTTGTGTCGAGCACTTTTTATCTCCAGTTAACATGCAGTATGGCGTGCATGATGGGCTGGACAGGGGGAGTAAATAATCCTACAATGGCTCAAGAAAAAGTAAGTCTAGTAAAAAGTATTGATGGTGTAAGAATAAGAAGTCCCAAAATACGAAGTAACAAAATTTTGTTTTGGTGAATTGCTTATGTAAACATTTTTGGAAACAGAAAAAAATATGAATTTTTTTTCTAAAATATTCTAAAAAATTGATCGAAATATATCAAAATATCTCAAAACTATGACAATTTCGATACTCAATCACTGTTTCGTTTCGGTTTCTATGTAAACGAACGTGTTTTGACATTTTCGAAACGAAATTTTAGTCCTTTCTGAATTACGTATAAACAGATGTCACTCCTAGTTTTACAGTAAGTTTAGGAGCAGTTTTCTGTTCCTTCAAGATGAAGTAGTTTGTNTTACACCACGTAATCAACTTCAGTGGGATTATATTTCCTGGAACATATGGCTGGATTATAGAGCCCATGAGCTCATAATAAGAAAAATTCGATCGGAGATCAAAGAACTACAACCAACGCAACCAAATCTCAATGTATAACATAACTAGAATTCGAAGTAATTTTTGTGTCGAGCACTTTTTATCTCCAGTTAACATGCAGTATGGCGTGCATGATGGGCAGGACAGGGGGAGTAAATAATCCTACAATGGCTCAGGAAAAAGTAAGTCTAGTAAAAAGTATTGATGGTGTAAGAATAAGAAGTCCCAAAATACGAAGTTACAAAATTTTGTTTTGGTGAATTGCTTATGTAAACATTTTTGGAAACAGAAAAAAATACAAATTTTTTTTCTAAAATATTCCAAAAAATTGATCGAAATATATCAAAATATCTCAAAACTATGACAATTTCGATACTCAATCACTGTTTCGTTTCGGTTTCTATGTAAACGAACGTGTTTTGACATTTTCGAAACGAAATTTTGGTCCTTTCTGAATTACGTATAAACAGATGTCACTCCTAGTTTTACAGTAAGTTTAGGAGCAGTTTTTTGTTCCTTCAAGATGAAGTAGTTTGCTACAGAAGCTAGTGTTCTATCATTCTAGGAAATTTGGGTTATTAGGAGTCAATACACAGTACTACAATCAATCTTTTCCAAGAGAGTAAAATAGAATTCACCTTTTCAGGAGGCGAATCATCCTCAAAGTAATTTGGGTGGGAGATCACCACTCTAATGATCAAATGTCTCTTCTTCCATACATTTCAACTTTTATTCTTGATAACATTACACTGTACTTTTTATGTAGCAGACCCTAAATTATTGGGATTAAAGCTTTGTTGAGTTGAGTTTAGTTGCTTGCGGTCTTACTTATATTTTTTTTACAGAAGTATTTGACGGAAAACTCAAAGAGGAATAATGGTTGCTCGAATAGTAGCCAATAGAAGTCTTTAAAAATGTCAAGTAGTTTACCGAAATACACACATATACACATAAATTGTAAAAGTTGTTATTTTTAGTTAGCCATATGGCCACAAACAAAAGATACAATAGTTTTTACTTCTTTTTGACACATCAATTCATATTAATGGATAACATATTTGGCCAAAACTGATCACAAAAGTCAATGTACATGGGATAAATAGAGTTGCATCATGCTGCAGAAATGTTAGGAGAAACTGCAGTTTTTAAATACCAAAGAGCATCATTTGACCTGTCAAACAGGATGAACTTTACCTCTTGCCCATCATAATTGGTCAGCACAAAGTCCCTTAGGTTTGCAGCCATTCCGATCTGAATTACATGAAAATACAGTTTCAGGAAGTAGATATGACAGCAGAAACGTAATCCAGGAAGGATTGGGAATAAGAAAGCCAAATGATCCAAAATGACTCTGGCAAAATAATAATGTGGACCAAACATAGATGGAAACCATTACATCTATACCTTTCTAAATACTCAACTCTTTCCTGATGAGAAAGTTGCCCATGTAAAATCTCTCTCTCTCTCTCTCTCTCTCTCTCTATTGTTTTGTCAAGCACTTGATCACCAAAAATAAATAAATATCAGGGGGCATCTGATGTAAATCGTATTAGCTCTGATGTAGATTAGGAAAGAATTAGAGAAGAGAAGAGAAGAGAAGAAGAAAATGATGAGAAGAGAAGAAGAATAGGATGAGAATAGAGAGAGAATTTGAGGAAGAAGTAATATCAGGATTTAATATCAATAATCAAAGTCTAACCTAAAATCCTAAAACAAATAAATAATAACAAATAAACTTTCAAAAGTTAAATGAAATTACTTAAAAAATAAATACTAAAAGTATCTAAATAACTATCATAATTAATCTATAATATCTATCTAATTCCTACACGATCCCCATAATTCTCCTCTAGTTGAAAAAAACTCTCTTCCTGAGAGTCTTCAAAGCAAAAGTATCCTAAGAGAGCAGTATGAAGACGACAGAATGCCTCATCTAGAATGAAAGAACCATCAACATCTTTCCATCGATCAGAATAAATGCAAGAATCTCCATCTGTAGCAATGTAAATCTGATCACGTAGTACATCATCTATTTGGCTCAAAATATGCGATGGGAGTGAAAAGATAAGAACTGGAACTAATGCTAAGGAAGAAGCAATTCCACCTATACAAACACTGGATAACAAAATAGAATGTTCTAGAATACCTCAATTAAGTAGCATGTCCTCTAAATAAAAATCTGAACAAATAATAACATTCAATGAAAAATTAAGTAAATAAGCATTAGATCCAAATTCAAGAATAGAAAAACAATTTCCATCAAACTTGAACAACAAGCATTCAGTGGGACAAGACTTCAATGATAAAGAAGTAACAATAACGCCTTGGTGCTAAAAATAATTAAGTACAAACTCAAGTGAATACTTGGCAATAGGCAGAGGAACAAAGTCAACAATCTTAGATTAGGAAGAATCCGTAACAAAGTCATGATGACTTGTACAAGTAGACACCGAATAGTCACTAGTAGATGCTGTAATAAATGACTCAATTGGCTTAATATCTTGCATAGGTATAAATTCAATAGACTTTTTCACAATTTTTAAGATTAATGATGGTTCAAGATTGACACAAGCAAAAACTCACACGCACTTTCTTTTGACATGAACTCTTGTGGGTGCAAAGGAGGAGGAGGACTTTGATCTGATGAAACTAAATGAGGGAGTTGAAAGTCAATATGAGTAACATTTTTCTCTTGATCCGATACTTAGCATATCTAAATCTTTTGCCACATTCGGATTAGAAAAGCATGCAAAAACAACATGGATATTGTTCAAATAATCATGATACTCATATGTGGTGGAATTAAAGCAGGAAGGCCTTTCACGCTGTTTAGCAAACTGTGATTGAGAACTCATTAAGCTATAGTTGGATTTCTTATGAAATATCTCAACCTTTAGAGCATATTGATTAGCTGCAACTATCGTATTAAAAGTGTATAGCTTGACCTCCGTACGAATTTTTTGTCTCAATCCAAGAGTAAACTGATCAATTGTCCAAAATTTTTCAACATTGTCACACAAGTACATGAGATAATTGAACTCGACAAAGTAATCCGAGACACTAGAAGAATGTTGTCTAAGATTGAGTCATTGGTCATAAAATTGATTTATGTAAAAAATTGGCAAATACTTCTCTTTCAATTTATATCTCATTTCAACCCAAATGATAGGTGATTCCCCAAAAAGGTCTAGGCTTCTTTGGACTGCTTGTCAATACTGCTTGGCGAAACCCTCCAACATCAATTTAGTAAAACAGACGCCATGGGAATCCGACATGCCATGTCAATCAAAATATTCTTCTATATTAGCTAACCAATCCAAGAATTGATTGAATCCAGAGTACCNAGAAGAATGTTGTCTAAGATTGAGTCATTGGTCATAAAATTGATTTATGTAAAAAATAGGCAAATACTTCTCTTNTTGGACTGCTTGTCAATACTGCTTGGCGAAACCCTCCAACATCAATTTAGTAAAACAGACGCCATGGGAATCCGACATGCCATGTCAATCAAAATATTCTTCTATATTAGCTAACCAATCCAAGAATTGATTGAATCCAGAGTACCACAAAATGTAGAAGGATCTTTAATTGACTTGGTCATAAGTGCTAAATCTTTGTAGACATACCTAAACTTGCGACGATGATGACCTCGACGAGAGACTCTTAAAACATATGCATTAGAAGAACTCATGAGTGACTCTTGAAAGATAAGAATGATATAAGAACAAATCCAAGAACACAATTGACAATTTCAAAAAAGTTTAAATAGAAGAATATGTATTTTGGACCTTTTACAAACTCTCTAATTTTTCAATGAATAAAAATATTAGTCTCAAATTTCTATAGGAGTATGCATACCATAATCAAGCTTTGTTGTGATGAAATTCTAAAATTTGCTGGGGATGATTCTGAAATTTTTTTGGATCTGCTGAAATGTTTCTGCAATTATGGAACTTCTAGATGATATTTCGGCAATTTTAGAATTTCTGGTAATAGGTCTTCTTTCCCACGTCTCGTTGAAGCTGTTATTCCCAAACAAAACCCTACCTAATTTGATCGTCTTCTTCGCTGCAATACTGCTTCAAAAAAAAATTTTTTTTTTTTAATTGGACAGTGAGTTGTTGGTGGCAATGAACAGTGTCGCTGATAAACAATNGCTGCAATACTGCTTCAAAAAAAAAAAAAAAATTTTTTAATTGGACAGTGAGTTGTTGGTGGCGATGAACAGTGTCGCTGATAAACAATGCACGATAAGCAGTGCGCACGATAAACAGTAATTTTTTATTTTGTACGAATCGAAGTTGGGCTCTGATACCAAATTGATGTAGATCGTATTAGCTCTAATGTAGACTTAGAAGGGAAAGAATTAGGTATGAGAAGAGAAAAAAAAAAAAAAAGGGGATGAGAAAAGAAAAAGATGCAGATAAGAACAGAGAGAGAATTTGAGGAAGAAGTAATATCAATAATCAAAGTCTAATCTAATCCTTACATGCATCCCTTTATATAGGGAAACTAAAACCCTAAAACAAATAAAAAATGACAAATAAACCCTCAAATGTTAAAAAAAATTACTTAAAAAATAAATACTAAAAGTATCTAAATAACTATCATAATTAATCTATAATATCTATCCAATTCTTATATGATCCCCATTAGCATCTCTCTACCCAGAAGATTAAAGGGAACAAATATGGGCCATGACCCCAGGCTACAATGCATGTACAAGTACAAATCTATGAAATGCACACATAAAAGGCATATCTCTCGTCTTTTATGCAAAACAGAGATATGGCAGATATGATTACTGAATTCAGTGACTTAAGCACTGTTCCTAGCAATGATATGGTAATTAATCAAGTCATAGGTAACAACAAACACACAGCAAGTAAGCAGCACATTCAGGAAAACACAAATCCGACACAAGTTATCATTTAGCTGATATGTGATACCAATCCAGTATCATCCAGATAACATATTTCACTGCTTCTAGCTTCTTTCCTTTCTTCTCCTTCTCCTTTCTGAACTGGCCCATAGTTTCCTAATTGATTCCCACGTGTATTGTGCTAGTTTCCTAATTGATTCCCACATATATTGTGTTGGTACTTGAGAAGTGAACTTAATGTTACCAAGGCTGCTATGTAACCTCACTAACTTATAGGCATTCATTATATATGGTGTCAAATATTTAAATTCCTCAAGATCCACAAGGAAAAATGGTTGATAGTGCAAAACAAAATTGTCAAATTAGCAGATCATGGCAACATCTTTCCCCAACCTCAACATGCACACGAATTAATATGGAACTTTAAACTGCTTTTTAGGTAGCTCAAGGTTTAATTAAGGCATTCAAAAAAAAAAAAAAAACTACAAGGAGGTTATTGTTTGCTCATATTCTAGAGCCTATTTGACGTGGCACATACTATACCACAAATGTCATGTGTTAGCAACTCCTGCCAAATTCAGTGGAAGAAGTGAGAAGGGCTAGTTTTTTTGTTTTGGTCTTCTGATAATGGCAAGGTACAACACCACTTTATTACAAGAAAATAAAACAAAATGGGTTCTCAACAAAACCTCAAGTCAATTTCATCTACCACTGCTCCCAACTGGAGTGCTATACAAAATCACCCATTCATATGATATCTTCCCCTTAAAGTATGATGAATAGTGGATACCAACTATCACAACTGTCCCATAATTATGAAAAACGCATCAACTATTGCAAACTTCAAAAAGCCGCCCCTCCAGGCTAGTATGTAACCTTAAACACAATATTCGACATTACCAGAAATGGGAAGGCATCAAAACTATGGACCTGAATGTGATCCTTCAATACAGCAAGCGTATGCTCTGCATCAGCTTTAGTACCATGGTCATGACCATTAGGCTGCAGAAGAAACAAAAGTAATTTTACCAAGCAGATTTAAGTAAACACATCACCATAAAACAAGTTCAGAGAGAGCAAAGAGTTTTTCTTTATTATTCTATTTAAGATTGTCCCTCAGAGTATGAAGATGTCCACTTTGTTTTATGAGGACCCATCCTCTTGGAGAATATAGATTCCTCGACTAGCCATTAACTTTAAGAAATGAGAGGAAAAGGACGGAAGTGTCATTGGTATGTGTTTTAAAGTTATCTATTTGAATTATAAGATAAAACCAAAACTTTATGCTTTACTTACTTGATGAAGAAGCAACCTAGGAACAAATTTTACATTTTGAAATGGCCAAAACATTACCATTTCCATAGAAACTGAAACGAATTAATTCTTAAATATAGAAATTCCTATGTTTCGACGTATTTCGACATGCTATGGAATATTTCGGTATGTTTTGACCAATGTTTTCCTAACATTTCGGAAATAAATTTTTAATTTTTTTCTCCATTTCCATTTTGTCTCCAAAATGTGTCTGAAACATTTATGAAAAGTTTCACTTCTTAGGTAACCGCAACAATGCACTGAAACAAAATTTTAATTCTTGGAAACAACCATGTCTCAAGTGGGACTTGAACCCTGTAATCACTCTTTTTAAGATGCAGGAAATATCACACAAAATAAAATAAAAAATGAGAAAGAACTCGGTACATCTATCAAATGAAAGAAAAGTAAATCCCATGAGGCTATAAATACTCTAAAAAAAATATACTTAGTTCATTTCACTTTTTACTTCAGAACCACAGCAGAGTTGGGCCATATTATGTTGATGGCTGAGAAGGCAAATGTGATTAAATTATCAGCACTATTTTAATGGCTTGACATAAATATCATATAATTTGGCCGTTTTCTTTAAAGATGTTTGTTATAGGACAACACCCATATAAATGTTCTTATAATGCCATAAAAGAACTGATTACCTGCAAAGACAGACCTGTCACAAATCCTTGTTGAAGAGGATGACCGAATGGAGACCCTCCAAGCAATGCGTCACGAATCCGATCATTGAAGCTGAATAATTTTTCAAAAATCAGTTAACTTGTGCCTCATGAAGTACTGTTATTTATATGTATCCTATCAAGGAATTCTGCTCATTCAAGCAAGAAAATTTTTTTCTCTTTTTCTAAAATGACTGATTTAATTATTGCAGGACACAGGAAGGCTTTGCAATTAGATTAATAATGAGAAATAATTCAGTCACAAGGGATAAGAAGAATAAAAAGTAGAAAAAGCAAAAAGCCTTTATAAATCCAGTCTACACAATCCTTCATTCACAAGAAGATGACTATACTTACCTTTTTATTCTTTCATTTTTTTAGGTTGACCCAGTCTATCCCTCCCAAGCCCCATTATTANATCCTTCATTCACAAGAAGATGACTATACTTACCTTTTTATTCTTTCATTTTTTTAGATTGACCCAGTCTATCCCTCCCAAGCCCCATTATTAGGGACTAGGGTCAATGAATTAGACCATCACAACTGGCCAAGCAAATAAACGACCCTGAATCTTTTTTATCTCTCCAACATTTTTGGATAGACTAAAATTATCATTTCTCTACATAAAACTAAGATACAAACTATGCCTTTGCGACAATATGATCACCACCAAAAATAAGATATATATATATATATATATATATATATAATGCATTTCCAATGGCAAAAATAGGCCATTCTCAAGTACTAGATTCAAATGCACAAAACAGTTTCTACAATCATTTGTATTCTATCATTTTTCTGACATCCTTTCATCTGCCAAATGTTAGCCATGGGCAAGTTAATCTTAGTAGCATAGATACTTCATTTGCAAAAATGTTAGCCATGGCAACTTAATTCAGTCATAGATCTTCTGCTGAATAAGTCGCAAGAAAACTAACTTCTGAACGTAGGGGAAAAAAAAAAAGGAGAAGATGATTAGCCACATATTAGAAAATGAATAAAGAAAAACCTCCCGATTCCAGTTCCATAAAGGTTGAACTGAGNAAAAAAAAAAAGGAGAAGATGGTTAGCCACATATTAGAAAATGAATAAAGAAAAACCTCCCGATTCCAGTTCCATAAAGGTTGAACTGAGATGCATTTACCCCACGTCCATTTTTTGCTACTTCACCAAAGTCCCATCCTTCACCATATCTGAAAACAAGAGCATTAGCATCCAAATTAATACAATCGGAATGTTAAAGGAACTAGAAATGATTCCAATAAATGTAATTAAAACACCAGACTATAGCACAACAAGGATATAATCAGCAAAGTGCTACCAGTTGAAGCAGAACCAACTACCTAATAATTACTCCACCCTTACATGTAAATGCTTGAACCATCTACTCCACTTTTGTCCTTCGAAAGGCCATGGAGCACACTCTTAGCCTTCATCTGGGCACAGAATAGAAGCTATATTTTAGTTGCATTGACTTAGGTTCGTAATTATGTCTAAGCAAATTAATTGACTAAGAATATCCCATGCAACCTTATTTTCTTTCCAACTACTTCTCACTACAAATCCCTACTCTTAAGAGACATTGTCTTCCTCTTGATAACAAGTATTAAAATCATGTCCCAACTATGACTCCAACTCCATATCTCCCAAAAGATATTATGCTCAAGCTCACAACTATTGAAAAACAATAAAATTTTAAGTTAGTTTTATTCCAACACATCCAAGAGAAAGCTGAAGTACTATGTTCTTCTCTGCACAAAACAAATATGAACTTCTACATTGGAATTGAAAATGCAGGATGGCATAATAGAAACTGGATCTCATGGGTGACCTAGAAAAAAAAACGTTTCAACACATTTCAGCCAGATTCAAAAATTGAATGAAAACGAATAAAATATTTGAGAATTATTTTCCAAAACATTAACTAAAATATACCAAAGAATCTTGAAACACTTTGAAACATTTCGAAATAATTGTGTACACATGTTGAAACATTACAAAATACCTCAAAGTTTTAGAATTTTGATTTCATTATTGATTCATTTCAGTCTCCTTAGAAACAGAAACATTTCGATTGTGCCCACCACTTTGAAACGAAATTCTAATCCTTGTCAGGGCCTGATATTAGATAATTTTAATTAAGGAAATGCAATTTCTTTATTTTTTTTTTTATCAGAAATGAGATTCAAATTCGATATGTCTGAAAATACATCCATGCATCTTTACCTTGATATAAATGAAAAACTAACTAGATAGGATACCAGCATTTGAATTTCTGCATGGGATACTGACCTCAGTCTCATGCCCAGATCGCATATAGGATGTATTTGTAACTAAGATTTCCCAAATTCCCGACTCTAAATTGTGACTTTAACCTCAAATTGGTCCATAATCCAAGTCACACCAAATTGCAACCCTAATTAGTACTATATTCATTGATTTTGGTGATCTTTAAACTTATCTTTTGATTTTGTTGTGAATTAAAATTTTCTTGTAACACAGTTGTGTAGCCATTAAATATTAGGAAAAGTTTCACCCACACTCCCTATGGTTAAGTCTAAATTCAATGACACCCCCTCCCAATTTTGAAACTTCACTGCACCCCTTTCTAGTTTATACTGTTGAATTAATAACACCCCCTAACAAGAACTTTCGTCTCTGATAGTATATAAAGTGTACGATTTGACTACCTATTCTTTGAAAATGCTTAAATTACTTTGTTTTGTTAACAGACTAAATGCCTTGGATCGGTATTTTATAAAGTTTATTTTTTTATTTTTTTGATAAATGATATATTTATATCTAATGAAATTACTTTTTACACAAAATAAAATCATTCAACATAATAAGGTCAAAAAAAAATAATAATAAAAAATAATAATTTTAACATTTTACCAAAAACTAAGATTAATTATAGTCATTTTCAATTGATCTCAATGAATTGTTATCATTTTAAAGCGTTGTAATGATAACTTTGTTATAAATACCACCGATAATATATATATATAAATATTATATATCATATTATCACTCATTGGATTACTTAATCGAGTTTTTATAATTTTTGTAGTTAAAAAAGCTTTCTCTACAATAAAAATTACAATCAATAAAGTTAATGTCAAAGTCCCACCCATTTTCAACTCATTTACTATTGTCTGTCCTCCACAAAGCCACTCGACCACTCTTCACCTATAATATTTAAATATTATTTAATAAATTTAATGTTAATTGAATAAATTTGGTCTTAATTTTATAAATTTAAATATTAATTTGGGGCTAATTTGCTAAAATTAAATATTAATTTAGTATTAATTGAATAAATTTGAATGTTGTTTTGATGAAATTAAATGTTAATTTGGTATTAAATTAAAGAAATGGCATTAATTTGATGAGATGAAATGTTAAATTAATGAAATTTAATATAATTAAATTTTAATTTGATAAAATTGAATATCAATTAGTGTTGATTTGATGAAATTAAATAATAATTTAGTGTTAAATTAAAAAAATAATATTAATTTGATTAAATTAAATATCAATTTTATGATGATTTGATGAGATCGAAAGTTTATTTTGTTTAAATTAAAGAAAAGACATTAATTTGAAAAAATTAAATATTAAAATGATGAACCAAAAAGTTAATATAATAGAACTAAAAGGAAGGGTACTGAAATTTTAGAATCAGGACTGGTGTCGTTGAATTTAAGCCTATTTTAAAGGACGTGGATGAAATTTACCCTATAAAATACTAAGAATATTTCTGCAAAACAATCCTCGTTGTTAACGTTATATGCAGACAACAATTGACAAGGTGTGTCATTGAAATTTAAGAATCAGAAGGAAGTCACATTGAATATAGACCTAACTACAAGGGTTGTGGATGAAATTTTCCCTAAATTTTATTATTCACAACCATTACCCGATTGGTTTTGGACTACGGTTCAATGTGGAACTCTTATCACAAATATGAAATAAATTTAAATTGAGCAAGTGTTTAGACGTATATCGTCATGTCTAATTTCATAAAATAGTGGAAGTGATTTGAACAATTCCAAAATTGATCATGACTCAAAGCAGCATACCAACTAAATCTACCTCTCACAAAGTGTATTGGAGAGAATATTGCACTGCATAACCGTACCCATATCACATACTAGATCAACTCATGATCTAGGTAACATTGGCCTTGATAATGGAGGAGAAAAATCCATTTAGAGAGAATCCCACAAGAAGATTCAGAGTCCATACCATGGTATGTTTCATTATATGTCCCATGAGGTCAAACCTGAACCCATCAACCTGCAAGGCAGAAATATACTCAATACTGAATACGTCGAAGAATTCCCCACAATGAAGTAAACCCATTATTGATTACATTAATGAAATTATTTTAACAGTAGATACATATTTCCTTGAAAAAACAGTGGAGCACTTTGCTAGAAGCACAAATAAAGCACCAATTGGCTGAGAGAGAGAGAGAGATAAGCTCTCTGTTGAGCATGGGAGGATCTTCACCCAAGTTTCACCTAGACACATTTGGAATTTATGGGAACTGGACAACCTCTCCCTAACCCTCTGTGCCAACTCCAAAAACCCAACACAAGACCAATCCTACTCTGAAAAACCCAGCAGATAAAATCCTTTTCACTCCTTTTTGAAATGCTACAAGAACTCATCAACGTACTAAACATACTCCTACAAAACAGTATCACAGATATTTCCAAGCCTATGGGACCAGTTCAAGACTGTTACATGCATAAGTAATCTTTAGCATATTAGGATTGTTTCGCTCCAGGTTAGCATGCTTCAACACCATTCTTTTAATCCAAATTCTTGCATAGGATTAGTGTAGTCATCCTAGGAGTTCAGAAGTTTATTTGCTGCAAATTAGTCATTCTGTAAAGCTTTATTTTGTTAAGTTGCTACTCTGCTTTTCATTCTGTATTTAAGCTTTCTTTTGCAGTCTGAGACCCCCTCTTTGTATCTTGGTGAAACTTTAGTCTTTTTTTTTTTTATGGATCAAGTTAGGCCATTTTAAAAAGTTTGAGCCCATAAGGTCTTTTAGAATCCGTAATGAACCCTTCAATGTGTGACAGCCATTTAACTGCCAAACTCTGAACATGTTATCATATGTTGGCAGTCATTTAACTGCCAAAATCTAAACAAAAAGTGCAAATCCAATGTTTTAAAAATTATAACCCATTATTCCCTCCACTACTGCTCTATCCTCTATGTTCAACCCTAAAATATAAAAATTTAATGTTGGCAGAGTGAGGGAGGAAATATATACTTAAGTGCTTTCAAAGACAGCAGGAACCTGATTTCATCTTCCCTAAAACCAAGAAATGTGCAATTCGTTGTCATAACTACTGTAAAAGGAGCTTTATACCGCATTGACTGATACGTTTGTACGCTTATGGGGCCATTCCACTCATTCATAATTGGGTTTGAGTTGGATGCAGGTATCAAAGCTGGCCTTGGGTGGTTACCTATTTGAATTTCCTGGCATGCATATTTATCTATTTGTTTTTTAGATCCACGTGCAAGGCCGAATCTCACTTGAGGGAGGGTGTAAAGAGAGTTTATATCCCACATCTAATTATTAGGACCATCCAATGTTGGTTTATATGCGTAAATGTCCTTTTCATTCATTGACAATTGGTGTTGAGTTGGATGCTCTAACAACGACAACCCTATAGGCCTTGCAGTCTATTACGTTTCAAGTATATACCATCTCCATTAATCTGTCAATATGCCGTTTCAGTCAAAATGATCACCAATGTAAGTTCAGAAATAATCCAGGTTGACACATATAACAACAATAATTAATATTATGAACATTAGCATTATGCCAACTTAGCGCATTATGCCAACGTAGCTCAACTCAAGAAAGGATCAATTCAGTGTCCTCGAAAAACCTCTGACACTGAAAAATGAAGACTATTCATGTCATTATAATACTTCAAAAGTCAAAACCACATGCAAAGACATGAAAAGGTAGAAATGAAATGAAGAATAAACGGACTACAAGATTCTACTAGCACTTAGATTAAACTTAGCTACAAGCAGTTCAACACTTCGTACAACAAGTTGAAACTCAAGTCAGCCATAGAGTTGTACATTCATGTGTATTTTCATGACAATATACAGGTGGGGGCTCCACGTTTTAGTGAGTTTTCAGTAGCAGCTTCAATTGTTTTTGGAGAAAAACAGAGGATGAGAATTTGAAGAGTGTTGCAGCATAACAGAGGGGTTTCCTCATAGTGTTCAAACTACACAAAAGTACATGCAGCGTCTATGATCACCTTATAGTGAACTGCCCAGCATAAAAGATCATCAAGAATCAGACGTTCCACCATAAAATGTTCGCTGGCAGTATTATTTACACAGGTGCTATGCTCAATACAGCCATCAGTGTTCCTTCTCAGATAGTAACCAGGAACAATCTGCACAGAACTTTGTGTCACAAAATCAATGTCCAAAAACCTTTTAGAAAGAATAGAGAAACAGATAAGGTGTGATAGTTTACACACACAAAGAACCATATAAACAAGCAGAGATCATCTATTGTTTGAAAAGCAAGTCTGGAGATGGAAGCAAAGAATTAACTCTTAACCTTATCAAGAACAGAGTTCTCATCCAACGGGCCGCTTCCATGCAAATGATTATAGACAACGTCCAACACAACACGAAGGCCAATACGATTAAGTGACTGCAATTAAGATATACCGTTCTAATGAGCCAATGTAAGTTCATAACAATTGTACTATCTACAACTATATACATCCTTCATAAGAACCACAGAATACATAAAGCATAGTATTCATAGTCCTAAAATGCAAAGACAAGATCTACCTGCACCATCTTTCGAAACTCGATTGTACGGCATGGACCATTTGGATTACTTGCATAGCTTCCTTTAGGAACCCCCCAGAGAACAGGATTATATCTTTATCAGGAACAATCAACCAAGACGATTTTTCATCATGAAAAAGGGTAGCATTACAGAACCATAACATGGCAAATTCGAAACAAGTGACATTTAAGAATGCAGCATCATACCCCCAGTTATACCCATCTTCATTTTGGATGGATGTGATATGAGCTTGTTGCTCAATCGAATCTGATGGTAAACTTTCAAGCATCTGGGTGTCTGTTAAAGATTGCATGTCACTTAAAGGAATTAGACCAAGACACAGAAGACAATCCAATGTGATACTAGACCAAAAGGTTAATCTCATGTAAAAAAATTAGAAGAAACAAAGGACATTCGTAAAAAGGAAAATAGAAAGACGATGCTTTATGAAATAAGGCAGAACATAGAGGTCGGATAGAATATGTTGAACTTAGCAATACATGTTTGCAAGTATGGAAGTTCAGATTTTCGGGGCTAGTCCATATGAAGTGAAGTTTACAATCTTTATATTTGGGCATATGCTTACAAACTCTTCAGAAATCCAAATTGAAACAATAAATTTCATATTGTGCTAAATTATCCAACTCAAAACTGGCAACAAGTGAAGAGGCCCATAAAACTCATTTATGAACGAGTTTGGGAGGTGTTATTTTATCAATGTGGGATAAGCTATGACACTTAGAATCAGAAGACATATTCAAAAACATAACAAGTGCATTTGTGGCTTGAAGAAAGAGGAACAAATTACTCCTCCCCAAACCTAACTCTAGTACCACATCAATGTACTAACTCAAAATCAATGGGCAATAAGTGGAGAGGCTCACAAGGCTCATATACTAGTTTGCAAGGTGCTAATTATTGAAATGGTACAAACTCTTAACACACGTGTGTAAAAGTGCCTATAGCAAGTCCCAAAGTTGGACACTCTTGAGCCAGTACAACTTGTATTGGTATCACTATAAGTTTCAAATATGTTCTAACCCTTCAAATTCATTTCAATGTGATGAAATATTTACCAATTATTCAAGTCAGTACAATAAACTGAAAGCATGTCACATGATTAAATTTCAAGGTTCACAATGATTGAAATTCAGAAGCACCAGGCACCCAAGATTTTCCAACATTGCCAAAACCAATATATAAGGCGGTTTGCTCTAATTGTCATATTCTTTTCATGTCAAAATAGGTACTTTTATAGCAAATAAACAAACTTTGATTTTGGGGTTGACATTTCTAAACAATTTCAAAATTAGATGACTCCGAGCTAGCTTGATTCCATTTTTATTTTTTGTCAATTCATAAAAAAACAATTGACCCAATTTCCATAAAGTAAACATACAACGCTGGCCCCAAATATTGTTTTTTTACTGCTGCTAAATATATAGTGGTCCATGCATAATTAAGCTTACAAAAAATCAAGACAATTACCAACAATTCCCAATAGTTCTTCTTTGATGCTAAATGTAAATCATGTGTATCCTTAAAATCAAAAGAAAACAATGCAATTACCAATAGTTCAAATTACTTGAGACACAGTACTTCTGCCCAAAAATTTACCTGATCAACCCTTGTCCATAAGGAAGCTAAATTATTCAAAACTAACAACATTGCAATTTTTTAAAGCATACATGTGGAACATCGAACAAAGAATACCCTACCAGCATATTACCAAGTAAATGAACTAGAAAATTAAGAAAAAGAAAACACAATAGAACAATTCTTACCCACACTCTTCCATTTATCTTTTTCATCGTCAACACCAGCAAATTGGAAGGTTGGCAGCAGATGCAAATGACTTATACCAGCACTAGATAATCTCTTTAGATGAAGTATACCAGCTGAGTCCTAGAAAAAGAAAGAAGCAACTTCAACATATATACGTTTTGATTCATTTTAATGTGTACCCTCTTAAAATGCATATGTTTATGGGCCTCAGCAATGCATGCTTGCTGTAAAGTCCTTCTCCACCAGGGCGGTGCCTACTTGTTATGAATTTTTGCCCTCAGAAATCTTCTACATGTGTTCTTTTCCCTTATTTCTCTTTTTTGGTAAACAAAAAAGTTCTTCTTGTACCAAACAGAAATGATAGTATGAGCTACTTATACTCTCTAGAACTGGGAAGAGAAAGATCGCACAGGAAAAGGATATCCACTTGGTTATCAGCAGTAAAATGGTTTACCATGATATAATGCAAGTGTATTTCACGATTAAAAAATATTCATATTTCTGAATTTTCAAATTGTAAAGAGAGTTTGTATCCCACATCGGATGATTAGGACCACCTAAGATTGGTCTATATGCTTAAGGTGC